AAAATCTCTTTATACGCTATTTAAGGTCTCATTCATCTCTATTTTCTTATTCTAAAAGAAAATAAGAATTTATGTCTTTATTCTGATTTTTTTTTATTCTATCAGTGTGTTATCAAAATGATTGCTCTTCCATTGATTAGACTGTGTGTGTGTTCCTTTGTGTGCATTTAAGGATTAAATATTTCTTGGTGTCCCCCAAATAACGAAGAATGTAAAAGCACTTCTAAATTTTGGATTTCAAATTTGGGGGTGTGTAACATGAGATATAAATCTCCACAGAGTGCACTGACGGAAAGGACCAGCAAGATTCGGATTCACTTAAGCCCTGAGAGCTGTCCGTAGTTGGTAAATTGAGCTGCCTGCATTTCCTCTCGAAATTTACTGCGTCTCAAATTGCTCACCCTGTTCCTGCCGCTCAGTCTAACGGCCTTATTTTAATTCTGCTGGACAAAGCCAGCTCTGTGCGCTGAAGAATGGGAGACGGATTCCACAGATGCTCCTCTAAGAGTGAGAAGATCCCACACCCAGAATATGGAGCCACTGAAGCCGTGACATGAACCACTCCGTGTTCTCGCTGCCACGAGTATTTCATTTCATCGCAACCGACAAGTGACATTTTTATCACTGGTCCTCACAAGAAAGGTAATGTTATAGGATCTCTCTCTGCCGTGATTTAGGAAAAATAAAACTGATGTGAATGAAATTGCTCATAAGTGTGTGTGTGTGTGTGTGTGTGTGTGTGTGTGTGTGTACAGGAGGCCGAATGTCAGTATGTGTGTGTGTATGCATGCCCACATACATGTGTGTGACAGTCACCCTTAATTTTCCCTTGGAATAATAGTTGCAGAGAGAACCCCAAACCATAAACACTTTAACAAGCCTTCTTGCACTTCCTGAGCCAATTCCCAGCCTTATTAATCCACTTTGCCCCATTACACAACTCACAAGTGGCGACCGAGTGTTACAGGGCAACAGAAGCCAGAGCCATAATGAGCATGAGAAGCATCTCTTAGAAATGAGTGCCTTTGAGATTAATTAACGAAAAAGTTTTCTTCTCAGTGATTTCCTTGGAGGAATCTTATAGGTTGATGTAAGTGGTAAGAAAAGTTATGTAGCCCTGGTCGGTGTGGCTCAGTGAGTTGGAGCATCATCCCATACACATGGTCAGGGCATATACCTGGGTTGTGGGTTCGATCCCCAGTGAGGGCGGATGTGTCAGGCAACTAATCAATGTTTCTCTCTCTCTCTCTCTCTCTCTCTCTCAAAACAATTCATTTTTTTAAAGTTATGTAAATGCGTTTCTTATCTGGAGCTTTCTAATGTCTACTTTGAGAAGCAAGGTGTTCATAGGAAAGCACATAGAAACTGCAGGCTGTTACCAGTAGCACAGACCATGCATTGCACATGAGAGGCATCAGAGCAGACCTGGGCGTGGCAGTGTGTTAGCGAGAACACATAGAACAATCGTAACACCACCAACCGGGTGTCTTGAACAACAGGCATCCATTTTCTCACAGTTCTGGAGGCCATAAGGCTGAGGTCAAGGTGTCAGAAAGGTTGGTTTGCGCTAAAGGGACAAGGGAAGGACCTGTTTAGCCTCTTGGCTTGTACGTGGCCACCTCTTGCTGCCTCCTCATATGGCCATTTCCCCTGCAGGCGTGTCTCTGGCATCACTCTGTGTGCCCAGATTTCCTCTGCTTTAAGGACACCGGTCACATTGGATTAGGGCTCATCCTAAGAGCCTCTGGTAATGTAGTCGCCTCCATCAAGACCCAATTTCCAAACACAGTCACATTCTGAGGCCCTGGGGGTGAGGGCTTAACATATAAATTGTGGGGATGCCGTTCAGCCAATAACAGAGAGTAAGACACACTCAGGACTAAATGCTAGCGAGAGCACGCACAACATCTATGATTTTGAGCAAGTTATCCAAGTTCTCAATCACATTTTTCTAAACTTCGAAATAAGGAGACAATAGTAAGCATTTACCTCACAGGGTTATCATGACAATGAGATGAGGCAGGAAGGCAAAGGACCTAGCACGGTGATTAACACATGGCAAATGCTCTGTAAAATCTCAGCAAATCACAACATAATTTTAGATTTTTGTACCCTTTCCTGATAGTAGTGTTAGTTTGTCCTTTCTCACCTACCGTTATCTATACTAATACTAGGTGTATCGGTTAATAATGTGGATTTTTTTCAATAGATGGAGTTACACATATGTTGATATATATGCTATTTGATATGTATGCTATTTTGTTGTATTGAGAACAAGCTTCAAAACTTCATATGTCAAATTTTCTGAAGGTGTTAACATCATAGATGTTTTTATGCTTAAAAATGTCGAATTTCATGCCAAAAAAAGAGCATTTGTGGGAAATTTTAATTCCTTACTTTATTTTGAAGAAAAGTACTGCTGAAAGTTTTCGAATACTTCGGGAAGCTTATGGTGAACATGCTCCATCTCAAGATACTTGTGAACGCTGGTTTAAATGCTTTAAAAGTGATGGTTTCGATGTGAAAGACAAAGAACGTCCAGGTCAACCGAAAAAGTTTGAAGGCCAACAATTACAAGCATTATTGGATGAAGATGCGTGTCAAACTCAAAAACAACTCGCAGAAAGATTAAACATTGCTCAGCAAAGAATTTCCGATTGTTTACATGCAATGGGAAAGATTTTAAAGGAAGGGAAATGGGTGCCACATCAACTGAATGAAAGACAAATGGAAAACCGAAAAGTCATCAGTAAAATGTTGCTTCAATGGCACGAAAGAAAGTCTTTTTTGCATTGAATTGTGACTGGCGATGAAAATTGGATTTATTTTGAGAATCCCAAACGCACAAAATCATGGGTTGATCCAGGTCAACCATCAACATCAACTGCAAGGCCAAATCGCTTCGGAAAGAAGACAATGCTCT